GGCAGGGAGGGGCTGTTCCCACCTCTCCCGGTCCCCTCTTCATCACTAGACCATGACTGGGGAATGCTCTGGGCCAGCCCAGCGTCCACTTGGTGCCCCTCTGCCCGGCACACAAGATGTGATCCCTGCGCTCAGGGCGATGGGGTGGGATGCCCAGGGAAGGGGGCAGTGCCCCAGAGCCCCCTCAGTCCTCTGTGGGGCCACTGTGACCAGGGCATCCCCCCTGCCCTCAGGTTCAGATCTACGAGGTGGAGGAGCACAAGATTGAGACCTGGCGAGGTAAAAAGTCGGGGTGATGGGGGTGGCTGGGCTGGGGATGTCGCGCAGGGCATGGAGGTGGGCTCCGGGGGTGCGGGGCTGCGTGAGGGGGTTGAGGGACCCCTTCTCCCACCTCTCTCCCTTGGCAGAGGTGTACCTGCAGGGCTCCTTCAAGCCACTGGTCTACATCTCTCCGAGCAATAGGTGAGCGCCTGCTCGCTGGGGGAGAGCATGCCCGATGGGGTGGTGTTCGGGAAGTAGCCCTATCCTCCCCCCACGGTGTCCCTGTCACCTGCAGCCTCTTTGACGCTGTCTACTCCTTGATCAAGCACAAGATCCACCGCCTTCCTGTCATCGAGCCTGTCTCGGGCAATGTCCTGCACATCCTGACGCATAAGCGCATCCTCAAGTTCCTCCACATCTTTGTGAGTACTGCGGCTGTGTGTGCACACTCCGGACGGTTGTGGAAGGGCACAGGCAAGGGTGTCCGGGTGTGTGTAGGTGCCAGCCCAGCCCTGCCCCGCCCCACTGCAGGGCTCCACCATCCCCAAGCCACGCTTCCTGAAGAAAACAGTGCAGGAACTGTGCATTGGCACCTTCCGCGACGTGGCTGTCGTGCCTGAGACCGCCCCTGTCTATACCGCCCTGGAGATCTTCGTGGACCGCCGCGTCTCTGCCCTGCCCGTCATCAATGATGCTGGTACCTGGGGAGGGGTTGGTCTCTTCTCCCATGTAGTTAGCGATAGGACAAGAGGAAATGGGCTTAAGCTGTGCCAGGGGAGGTTTACGTTGGAAATTAGGAAAAATTTCTTTACTGAAAGGGTGGTCAAGAATTGGAACAGGCTGCCCAGAGAGGTGGTGGAGTCACCATCCCTGGAAGTGTTCAAAAAACGGGTAGATGTGGCACTTTGGGACATGGTTTAGTCTAGTCTACCCTTGATTGGCTTAGAGTAGACTTGGTAGTGTAGGTTAATGGTTGGACTGGATGATCTTAAAGGTCTTTTCCAACCTAAACGATTCTATGATTCTATGACCCCCTCCCATCTCCCTCTGCCGGCAGCTCTGGCCCCATCCCCACCCAAAAATCTCCCTTCCCACCAGCCTGGCTCTTGGGTTGCAGGGGGAGCACAGCAGGTGGTCCTCAGGGCCCCCTCCCCAGCCCCTGCACTGTCTCTCCTTGCAGGGCAAGTGGTCGGCCTCTACTCCCGGTTTGACGTCATTGTGAGTACCCTGTGCGCTTGCATGCCTGGGCATGAATGCAGCCCCTTGCACGCTGCTGGTGGGACACTCACACATGCCTGCACCCCTGAAAACCTGCCCCACGTGCACCGATGCATGTGCCAGTGCAGATCTGCCCTGCGTGTCATCAGGGCTCGGTGTCCCCCTCGGTGCCAGCACAACGGGGTGAGAGGACATGTTGGAGTGCTGAGCGGGGCCACCTCTCCCGCAGCACCTGGCAGCCCAGAAGACCTACAACAACCTGGACATCAGCGTGCGGGAGGCGCTGCGGCAGCGCACCACCTGCCTGGAGGGAGTCCTCACCTGCTACCCACACGAAACCATGGAGGACATCATCGACCGCATCGCCAAGGAGCAGGTGAGTGGCCAGGGCACC